GTTTGTTTTCAAACCATTACAAGCTGTGGGAGCAAGAAGGGACACAGAGAAGGACCATCCTACCAAGATGGTGGGGCTCGAGCTCACCAGAAAACTGTCCAGAAAACTGCTCCACACCCAGGAGGCTGCGGGTGCTGAAAAGACCACTAGGAACTGAAGGTTGGGTTTGAGACCAAGGGTTGGTTTTTTTTTTTTTTTTTTTTCGGCTGAGCACCCATGAAGGCAGATTTCAGACCATGTTTCCCACAAAAGAAGTGATCAGATCCTGAAGGAAGCTGCACCCCAGTGCTTCCCTCCAGCCCTCTGGTGATTAATCCAGGGCTGATCCTGGGCTGGCAGAGAGCAGATTCTCCCCCAGGTCCCAGAGGCTGATAATGCACAAAGAAGAGATTAGTTCTTTGTTGATTTAAAAGCTTTCATTTTTCAGACAAGGGGGAAAAAATATCTCCTGGAACAGGCAGCCCCTTGCCATTGGGAAGGACCAGCACCCACTGGAACAGTCGGTCTGCACAGAGCTGTCTGTCCTGGTGTTACAACCAGCAGACTGGATCAGGTCAGGAGACAGGACCTCATGGTCTTCCTCCACCACGTGTTTGCCATTTATGAGGTGCACACTGTGGGTGGCAGGCAGGAGATGGGTGACTCTCAGCACCTGGCGTTCCCTGGGCAGCAGAGGAAACACTTGGGCAAGGTGGGTGATGTCCCTCATTCCCTCCAGCCACTACATCACTCGTGGCAGAGCGGTGGAGGAGCTGCTCAAGGTAGCAGACAAGCCTTGGGTGCCCTGGGTTTGGCAAGGAGATTGAAGAGGAAACTCCTGGTGTGACCTCTGGCATCCTCTGGAGCGAAGGCCACCTCCCACAGGTACCTGCAGCCGGGCACTGCTCTGCTCCCTAACCCTGACCCCATGCCCAATGGCTCTGCCTAAGGCTTTGGCATCCTCTACATGGCCAGGAGATGGAGCAGGCAGCTGCCAGCCCACAGACCATGCAGTGCTTGTGTCTTGGGGTGGATTTCCCAGAGCCAAGGGCTGGCTGGATGCTCCACGTCCCCAGGCTTTCCCTGTTTGCCAGGGTAGGAGAGGAGTAGTCCAGGAGCAGAAAACAGCCATCCTGGGTCCCACAGAGCCATGCTGGCTGCTCAGAGAGAGACAAGCCAGGAGCTCTGGGGAGTTTTGCCTCATTTGGCAGTTCTGCACTGACTTGCTTGGTTCACATTTTTTGAACGGGTGGTGACACATGTTGTCTGATTTGGGGCTTTCTAGCAAGACCTGCTTTTTTGAGGTGTTGCAGGGGTGGTTTGTTTCTGACACTCTGGACAAATTCCCATGCCTCAGATTACCTATAAAAAGCAGGGAACAGTGCCATGTCTTCAGGCTGTGCCCAGATGTAAGAACTGATGTCCTACAGACATTCCTGGAATCCTTGCATGCCAGATGCTGCCCAGAAGTGACACAAGATGCCCCAGTTCTCAAACTGAAGGTGCATAGCGCATCTGCAAGACTTGCCTTTTTTAGGCACACTGGATCAGATGGGCCACAGGGTGTCCTGGAGCTGGGTCCTTTTCCCAGAGGGCTCATGCACACCGTGCAGAGTGGTGCAGCCCTGGGCTCTGCTCCAAGACAGGCAGGGGCAGGGCCACGAAACGGTTAAGGCAGTATCGTGTGCTCCCTCCTGATTGTTCTGCGAGGTGTGTTGTGACATTTGTACTTCCTCCTGGCAGGCCCAGCAGAGGCAGCAAGGGACAGGCTGCTGGGATGCTGTCGGTCTCTCTGCCCTCACCCTGAGGGTCTCTGTTAGGGGGTTCCACCATGGCCCTCCTCAAGCTCATCGGCCGGTGCCCTGTGGTACTCCTCCTGGCTGTGCTGTTCGATGTGATCGGGCTCATCATCCTCTTTGTGGGAATTTTTGCTCCTCTAAGCTCCTGGGACTTCTTCATTTACTCAGGAGCTCTGCTGCTCGCCTCCAGCCTCATCTTCTGGATCTTTTGGTACACATTCAACATCGAGGTCTCCTTTAAGGAGATGGGTTATAACTGACCTGTGACTCCAGCAAAGCCAAAAGGCAAACTTGACCTTGGAAGAGCAATGCCACATGCTGGGAAGCTCCAAAGCATCACTCAGTTGGTGAAGAGCATCCAAAAAGACCAGAGGGAAGGGCTGCTGGTTCCACATCATCGATCAGTCAGATGGACCCTCAGAGGAAAGGTACCTACAGCTCAGCAAGCACAGGGATGCTTTGCTAGTGTTGGGGAATGCAGAGGTCTTGGAAGGGCAGCCAGACTCTCCTGCTGATGGCAGCCACTCTTCAGGAGTAAGGCTAGATTGTAAAATGCTTTGGAATGGATTACTGATGGACAGGAACTTGGTTTTGATGAGATAAGCCTGTCTGAATGAATCTGGGGAGTGGGATCTTGGTGGGAGTTGGAGGTGGTATCTGAGGTTTATTTCCTCAGTTCTTCCCATCAGAGAATGCTGTGAGTTGAGGGTCCTGCAGAGCCACTGCTCTCTCCTGAGAGCTTTTGGGAGCAGAGGTATAGGGAGCACGAGCTGTCTCCCAGCGGTACAGCCTGGGCAAATAGAGAAAGTCAATAAGAATAATCCAGAGCCAGGCTGTCGCTTAGCAGGAAAACCTCTATGTAAAGGGTGTGTGAGTGAGCAAACATGGCTGCTTGTTGGCATACCCCCATCACACCATCCTATGCTACTGGGCTGCTCAGATTGGGCAGGTTTGACCAGTAGGGAATGCATTTCCAGAAAAGCAATGGGGCAATAGTGACAAACCAAGCAAAGGTGGTGTCACCAAGGCACTTGTGTGATGCCCTGTACACAGCCTGGTGACAAATGCTGAATACACAGAAACCAGGTCCAAAGTGCCATGTTTGAACACTGGCTTTGAGATTACGCTTCCTTAATCTCAGGCCAGTCTAGAACATGCCTGGTTTGTTTGGCGGTCGCCCAACGGGCAGAAAGATCAGGCAGCATGGGCCTTGGCTGGGCCCTGCATTGTGGTCCTACAGTGAAAGAGCAGGAGGGACACAATGAGCATCAGCCCCTCAAGGCATGGAGGCACTGGTGGTGCCACAGAAACATCCATGTCAGGCAAGATCTGCTGCAAAGAGCTTGGTTTTGGCCTCACCTGGGAGCAGCAACACCATGGCAAAGCTCAACAGAGGTGGAAATGTCCATGTGTCAGGAGAGCAGAGCTGCATGGGTGACATCCTGAGCCCTTCCCAGCATCCCAAGAGGATGTTCCTCCCTGTCCGCATGCTGGCAAGGCTGATGGAGCCAATTAGCCTGAGCTAACTAACGAGCAGCCCCGCAGTGTTCAGAGCTGGATGACACCAGTAGGAGGATGCCCCAGCCAGGAGCCAACTTCACACCCATGTACCAAGAGCCAACTCTTGCCCCAGGGAGCTGGTGGTTTTCTAAGAGTACATGAGACAAAGAGAAGGCAGAGATGGGGGAGATGTCCCCTACTGATACAAGAGTGTCAGAGGAGACTTGTCTCTCTTCAGTTTTGGCATCTCAGCCAGGCCAGTGCCCCGAGGCATAGACCTCCTGGTGCAATCCCAAATGACATGACCCCCATCCACTGGTCACTTGACAGAGATTTCCTTGCACATTTTTTTTTTATAGAACCTCTCACAACTGGTGACAAACAATGTTTTATTCTTTGATTTTTGTTTACCAATTTTTCTTTATTTCTTTTCTTGTTGGCAGTGACAAAAAAAAAAAAAAAAGGCAGCCACAAAGTTTTCTTGTCTCTTCTGGGAGCGTGGAAGCTGCAGTGTGAGTCACGGTATTTTACGGCCCTACACTTACCAGGATGCCCAGACCAGGAGTTCAGCTTTACCCTCCACCACCAGTCCTCAGGGTGCTTTTCCACACATGTGCCCCTGGGACTACCTCCTTCAAGAATTTCCTTGATGCACCTCCAGATAAAAGCCTGTAACAAGCATTAGAAGGATACTGCACCTGCATGTAAGGAAGGGCAGCAGCAACCCACACCCTCCTTTATTTGCTCTGGGATTTTTAATTGCTAATGCTAAACCTGCTCAATCCAGCCTGTAAAGCTTGGCTAAAGGTTTTGTCACTATTCAATATCTGTCTGCTGTTGAGTGCACACCAGGGTGTGTCACTCAGGGGCAACACCAAGGGAGCTGGTGGCATCACCCAGTGAACCCAGTGGGAAAGGGGTGCACTTGTTCCTCCTGCCCACCAAGCCAGTGGGGCAGCCCACTCCTGAATTATGCTTTTTGAGAAGAAAAGTCTCTGCCAGCACCTGACAGCAGATGAGCCAGTGCACACCACCAGCATGGCCAGGGGAAAGCTTTGGAGTGATAAAGGGTGGGGGTGACGCTCACCCACTGTACACAGCTCCATGGAGGACCAGAGGCCTCCAGTGCACCCACTACATGCTGGCTCAGTCCAAGAGCTGCACTGCTGCAGCCCTGCGGCCCCCAGGATCCTGCACTCCTCATGGGTACTCCTGCTTGCACATTTTCCCCTCTCTGGTTCATCTGTGGTCTCTGGTAATCACCCAGCTCACGTGGCTCCAGGCAGGACAAGCACCATTCCCCAGTGGGATGCATGTGGGTAGGTGGTGCCCAAGTTAATAATGACTCTTGCACAAGTCATTAATGATCCAAACATGTCTCTGTATTTGTTTGTGTGCACAAGGTGCCTTCAACATCCATCACCTCCTCCAGGCAGCTGGCACAGAGGGGCACAGGCACAGGCAGGACATGGTGGCTTCGATTTCCACCATGCACAGGTAGAAAAAATCAGCCAAGCCCAGCCACCAGAGGGAAAATCTCCTACCCACAGCGTGTGCCCATGGTAGGGGACCATGGGATTCCTCTTGCCTCCCTCTCCCACATTCTCTCATAATGGGTATCCAATGAGCCTTCACACCCCCAGCACCTCCAGAGCATGCACTCCAATGGTTTCCAACATCCCTTTCCATCCCAGGAGCCAGCCAACAGCTCCCTAGGTGTTGTCCCTTCTTCTGCTGTCCCCAAACCACAGTTTGGGGCAGACTCCATCCCTGGCAAAGCCAGCCTCACCCTGCCATGGTGGACAGGGAAAGCATGAGTGAAGCATCTGTGAGTCACTGCCCCTTGGAGACTCAATCTTGAGCAGCACTGGGAGAGCTGGCCCAAGCCCAGCACGCTATTGACCTGAGAGCTTATCTTTCACCGTGGGGTTTTTGTGGTTTTGTACTTGGTCCATTTGCTCCACATAGCCCAGTGGCTATGGAATCATGCCTAGGTGTGCAGGGCACTGGGAACCAGCAGCCCTCCTCCACTGGCCTGACCAGTCATCCCACTGACCTGAACAGTCCATCACTGACAAACAGCATCCTCCAGTTCTTCCTAGCCTGACACTTCAGACTAGAGAGAAAGAAGAAATTTTTGATTCTGAGGGTAGTGAGCCCCTAGCCCAGGTTGCCCAGAGAGAGTGGTTGATGCCCCATCCCTGGAACCATTCTAGGGCAGGTTGGATGCAGCTTTGAGTGACCTGCTCTAGCTGCAGATGTCCCTGCTCCCTGTGGAGGGGTTGGACTAGATGACCTTGAAAGCTCCTTTCCAAAGGTCCATTCCAACCCAAACCATTCTGTGATTTGATGATTCTATGACACTTTTACCTTGAAATGCTTTGGAAGTGCATTCTAGGAGTCCTCTCTCATGACTTGTGCATACTCTCAGGAGTCTGGGCTGCCCTATACCTCTTTCCATGTGCAGCACCACAGTCACAAGTTGGGGATGTCATCATCCCCCACTTTGCACCAGGAGAGGCACCGGGGGGAATTTCAGATCCAGCTGTGCCATGTGCTTGCTCATGTGTCTGCACCTTCAAGGAGGAAAAACATTCCTCCTTCTGTAACCAAATATTAGCAACCTGACCTGGGCTGATCCTCAATATCACTGGACAGCCCACAAAGTCCAGCTCAGCAGCTGACACAGCTGCACACGTGGGCATCCTGGACACCAGAAGTCTGCTCATGTTTTTGTATCTGATCTGGGTGGTGGTCAATGGCCTCCTACATCCCAGTGTTTTGATTTTAAATGTCTTTATTGGAGAGATTTTGAATTTCTTAGATATCATCAGAGTCTGTTAAAGTATTTGCATCTTTTTTTGCTGTCCATTTATAGAGAAAAGGACCAGAGTGTCACTGTAAGGAGCAAGCAGATGAAGGGGAGCAGCACCAAACAAGGACTCTATTGTGCTACTCTTGCAGACCCATCACTGAAAACACAGAGAAGGGTGCTGTATGATATCCTGGGCATGCTGTTATCACTCTGGGTAGAAGGCACCCCTGAGTGGTGGATGCTCTTTTCATATCCTCTCTAAGTACATCACTTTCACTCCTACCCACTGCTGTTGTCTCAGAGGACCCAGCACAAGCAACCTGGCAGCAGCAGAGCCACTGCAAGCTGTCCTGAGCACAGGCCAGGGCAGATCAGCAGGATCTGGCTGACAGGCTGGACCAGTTCTGCAGATCTCACTGGATTGGATGTGAAGAACTGGTTCAACAGGGCTCACAGCTGGAGAGGCTGCCTGAGGTGCAGCTGACTCTGTGGCTTGGGGACCCTCTCTGTGTATTGATGTACTCAACAGGAGAGGGAGACCACAAAAGTGGAAAGGACAGGGAATTTCCTAAGCAAAATCCAGCTGCTGGTTGGATAGAGGTCTTGGGTGCATTTAATCTAGTTTCACCAAGGTCACATGCTCTTTCTAAGTGGCAATTAATGAGATGCTCAGAAGACCTTGGTTCAAAGGTATTACTTATCAAAAATATATTTTGAGGGTTTTTAAACCCGCTGGTTTTGCCCGGGAAGAAAACGCCCCCAGCGGAACCCCAGTAGTACCTCCAGGGTGGTCGTCAGCGAAGAGGAGGGCAGTGGCGAGTAAAGGAGGGATGGGCAACGATCGCTTTCTTCCAAAATAAAAGGTTTTAATAACATGAAAATAACAAACAAAAACACCTGAGGCAGGCACTGAAACAGCACCCACCCCAGGGGAGAAGCGAAAGA